TACACTCTGACATATTTCCGGTTCACCATGGAGGGGGCGATGTGACTCTATATTGAACCAATAATAAATGAGAGGCAAGAAGGTTGAAAAGGCGCGATGTGACTCTATATTGAACCAATAAATGAAGAGCAAGTCGGTGGAAAGGGCGCGATGTGACTCTATATTGAACCAATAAATGAAGAGCAAGTCGGTTGAAAGGGCGCGATGTGACTCTATATTGAACTAATAAATGAAGGGCAAGAAAGTTGAAAAGGCGCGGATGTCCTTGACTATAACCATAACGATACTGTTGTTTTGCCTTTCATTTGCGCGTCCATGGTGCGAACCAGTGCAACAATTTTTTTTTATTTTTATTTTTTAGATAGTAAGAGCGATGTCCATGAAAGTTCGCGATAAAGGATATTTAAAATGCAAGGCTACGTGAATTTAAAAAAAGAACCCAAAAAAAAAAATGTTCAAGGGTAAAAGTAAAGAATAACCCCAATAATAAAACGTAGGAGGGCAACAAATACCAAAACTTTGGTCTATAATTTTATTTAATGTATCAACTTTTGGGACGTCAAAGTTTTGGGCTTTTTTGTTTTGTTATTTGTTTGTTTCTTTGTTTCTTTGTTTCTTTGTTTGTTTCTTTCTTTGTTTGTTTCTTTGTTTGTTTCTTTGTTTGTTTCTTTGTTTGTTTCTTTGTTTGTTTCTTTGTTTGTTTCTTTGTTTCTTTGTTTCTTTGTTTGTTTCTTTGTTTCTTTGTTTCTTTGTTTGTTTCTTTGTTTCTTTTGTTTGTTTGCTTGTTTCTTTATTGCTTGGGGTTTTTTTACATTCTTGAAACTTGGCGAACGAAAGAAGTGTAATGCACACTAAGAATTATATTACTCAGTACCCATCCAATACTCTGAAAGAAAATCGATGCCAACAGGAAATAAACTGGCGAAAAATTTATGTTGGCCAGGTTGAAAGAGAGCAGAGGGTTGGGGGGGGGGGAAGGGTGTGCATCATCGATATTTGGCTACCTTAGAATAAGAACTTTCTATGAGAGATTTTTTGCCGTTTTGAGCTACTAAAACGAGGAGGTCAGAAACCAAATTTTAATATTCTATCTGCTCTATCAAAATCGTAAAATTATTCGGAGTCGTTTTCAAGACATTCAAAGAATTGCGTTGGAACAAGCTTGACATATTGTGAAACTCAACATTAATTTCTAGCGCCAAATTTCTCCACAACAAGGTACTGAGCACATAGAATTTGATAATTCTAAGGTAGCTATTTGTGTGGATTTATGGTAGAAAAAAATCAGGTGCTGGACAAAGTAATGAAACAAGAGAAATCGACATTCTCCGCCCTTTGGACAATTTTTGTCTTTGTTTCGTGCCTTGTTTCTTTGTTTGATTTGTTACTTTTTGGCTCAACGTATTCCATGTCCAATTAAAAACACACTACTGTGTGCGCTCTACAGATAAACGTTGACCAAAGGCACAATGTTTGTTTTTAAATTGCAGTTTTCAAGGACACTCTATCTTTGGATGTCATTAAACTTTGACGACCATTTTCTAGCCTATTTTATGTTTGACACCAGTCGATGATCTGACCTTCAGTCGTAACTGACCTCCACTTCTATTCAAGATAGATAGCTATTTTTCTCTTTCATTAAAAAGAAGACAAACGAACACACTTAATTAAGATGATACTAATAAGTCCAAATGCCCAAACATGGAGGAGCACCAGATTCCACCACGTCGTGACGCATATTTTACTTATTTATTGCGCCAAATTGAAAGGGGACATAATAAACTACGTGACAAGGAACAGATGGTGATGTTCGTTCCCGCTCGTTCTATGGGATCATTTTCTGACTTCCTTCATCCTTCAACATCCCACTCCTCGCCCCAGCTAAGACCTGACCTCCATGTTGACTCGTCTTTAGAGCTGCTGCCGTTTCTCAATCCTATATCACTTGTGTCTATTGTCGGCATGCTGATTTGACTCTTTGTGAATGTATGTGTGCGATTGTGTGCGTGTGTGTGAATGAGTATGTGGGTTTATTTATGTGTGTATGTGTAACTGTGTGTGTATGTGTGTAAATGTGTGTATGAGTGTGTGTGTACATATGTGAATGTGTGTATGAGTGTGTGTGTATATGCGTATGTGTGTATGAGTGTGTGTGTGTGTGTGTGTTTGTGTGTGTGTGTGTGTGTGTGTGTGTGTGTGTGAGTGTGAGTGAGAGAGAGAGAGAGAGAGAGAGAGAGAGAGAGAGAGAGAGAGAGAGAGAGAGAGAGGGAGAGAGAGAGAATACATGTACCTACATGCCGCAGCAAATTTCTCTTTGTGGAGATCATTTGAAGGGCGGCTGCTGTCAAGCTAACTGAGATACCATTATAATTTTCCCAGGAGACAGGCGGTCATCATCGTGATAATTATCAAGAGCTAGTAATAATAATAGTAATAACAATAATAATAATAATAATAATAATAAAAATAATAATAGTAATAATAATAATGATAATAATGATAATAATAATAATAATAATAATAATAATAATAATAATAATAATAATAATAATAATAATAATAATAATAACGTGCTGTCCTCCGATAAACACGAATCATCTCGAGAACGCTATCCAATTCTAACATGCATATTAATATTTTGCGTATATTTATGGGGGGGGGGGGTCGGCGCGGGTTGAGTTCTTGCGTCTGTGACAAGCATTTCCTCCGTTATCAGTTTGCTCCTTATCATCTGACGAGGCACTCAATAAAATTATGTCAATGTCAAAGAATCAGAGGACAACGGGGTTTTTTTTGTTTTTTGTTGTTGTTATTTTTTTTTGGGGGGGGGGTTGGTTTTTGTAGTTGTTGTTTTTTTATACCGCACTCACTTGGGATGATGACGTGTGGCTTGTGACTTCTCAAACTCAAACCGCTTACTAAGCACTTAATGACACAACCGAGTCCCGAGTGTGTCCCGCGTAGTGGTCACTGATAAGTGCGCCACGGCGCGCTGGAATCAGGCGCTCGTCAAGTTTTGGACATTAGGAATTATGGGTATAATCTTCCAGCCTGTTCATTTGCCTTGCTTTTGATGGGGAAAAAATATCCGTCTATCTTGAATAGATGTTGGGTTATTTGCGATTACAGGAGGTGGCGGGTGTCTGGTGATAGAAGTGACATGAGAGAGATAATGGCAGCCAAATTCGGATGACTTCCGAAGCTACAATGTCCTTGGAAAAGACACATTTACATATTTTTGGTGCCTTCGATGAACATTATCCAGCAAAAATCAGTGCAAAAGCTGTTGAGGCCTTTTTTTTAAAAGGCAAACAACCCCTCCCCACAAAAAAAATAATAAAAGTTGCGAAACAGGCCGAAAAAAGTCGATTTTTTTTTCAGTACATTATTTTGACAAGTGCCTGATTTCACTATGGTGCTACACATGTATCTTTTAAAACAAGATTCCACAGAACAGATAAGAAAATGACACATTCACAGCCTTGAAATAAAAACGAAAATTTCGGTAGATCCAAAAAAGGTTAAAAACAGAACGAACTCCAAGTTTTGATAGTTCTGACCACAACAAAAAAAAATGGAACAAGCGAAGAAGTAAGGCTACTGGGAAAGATAACGCTATCGTTCTGGATCAAAACGTTTTTGCTTGACGGTGGATTAATTGTAAGCAGTTGTTTTCATAACAATGTTTGAATTAAGATTGACTATAGTAGCAATTAGGTTTGCTGCTTCATCAAAAGTTCCGCACAGTCGCGCTTCCAAATGATATTCTTAAAAAACCTCCGCCTGACCATAATAATTATGGTATTGTATTCTTCGACTAGGTCAGTCTCAATGCTCGGAAGTACTAACGTCCGCTTTACAAACCAGAAACGGATGTAAGCTGCGATTGTTTTTAGCATCTATCTATCTATCTATCTATCTATCTATCTATCTATCTGTCTATCTATCTATCTATCTATCTATCTATCTATCTATCTATCTATCTATCTACCTATCTATCTATCTATCTATCTAGCTATATGTCTGAACCTACCATTTAGCTATTTCTCTCCGCTTCTCTATCTCTATCCCTCTCCCCACCCTCTCTCCCTCTCTCTCTATTCTCTCTCTCTCTCTCTCTCTC